TTCCGGTGTTGTTACTCTAGCTGCAACGTTCGAACGCAGGTGAATGCTGGGATTTCGAACGCTGATTTTCAATGCTGCACGCAGGACATTCCCACTTGAAAAACTGATGCAACAGTAAATTGCTATTGTACATGCATTACATGGCATAAATATTTTGCATTTCTCTTGACTTACGTTTGCAAAACACACCCACAAACACACACACACACACACACATATATATATATATATATGTGTGTGTATTATATGTGAGTGTATGTATATATGTATGAATATATGGGTAGAGATTACGAGAGAAGGATTTAACTAGCTGTCTACACCTTGATTTCGATGGTAAATTTTGTTCCCACCAATGATGTATATTCGATTAAGGCAGATATGTTCTTATTGCGAGATATAATAAATCTCTTCGCCAGCATGATTATCATTATATATATATATATATATATATATATATATATATATATATATATATATATATATATAGTGAAAATAGATGAAGAAGAAAGAATATCAAACAGATAGAACAGAGAGAGAGACAGGCAACATAAAAACCAGTTGAATATATATATAAACCCGTTTTTTCTAACTCTCTTGTTCTGTCTGTAAATATATATATATATATATATATATATATATATATATATATATATATATATATATATATATATATATATATATATATATATATATATATATATATATATATATAAACCCGTTTTTCTAACTCTCTTGTTCTGTCTATATATATATATATATATATATATATATATATATTTTTACTTGTCTGTCTCCCTATTTTTCAACCTTTGTCTCCTCACTCTTTCGAGATATATATATATATATATATATATATATATATATATATATATATATATATATGTATGTATATATAAAGACAATGTATAGATGTATATATACAGAGAGAGCGAGAGAAAAAAGAAGAAGAAAGAAAGAAAGAAAGAAAGAGAAAGAAAGAAAGAAAGAAAGAAAGAAAGAAAGAAAGAAAGAAAGAAAGAAAGAAAGGACAAAATTCTGGATAGAAATATATTGTAGCCGTGTCTTTTGGGAGACCATGTATTCCGACATTTCTGTATTTATAACTTAAACATTTACTTTGACAAAAGGACAAATAAGATAAATGGAGCTTAGGAAGACTGTGTTGCGCCAGTCATACAATACATGAAGCCTGAATTTTTATTTAGTATTCGACACTTCTTGTACACATATAAGTATCCGTTTGTGTGAGTCTGTGTATGTGTGTGTGCGCGAGTATGTGTGCATGCGAGCGCACGTGCGTATATGTTTTACTTACCGACATGAATACACTAAAAAAAACGAACCAGTGTTGCAGAAAAAAATTCTTATATAGACACACATATTTTGTTACCGCTACGTGTACAGATTTTTCGCGTTTTTTCCACATATGCATATATATATATATATATATATATATATATATATATATATATATATATATATATATATACTAGATATATTAATTAGATAGATAGATAGATAGATAGATAGATAGATAGATAGATAGATAGATAGATAGATAGATAGATAGATAAGTTTTGTATTGGTTGTAATGCGAAATCGTTACATTGTATACAATTTACTGGCTATTATTTCATGTAAGCTGATTATGAAATTATTTAACCTGAATTTAATAACGTGATATTTAAAAGGGAAACAAAGACGCACAAATACACACACGCATCCATAAAGAGGCTGAATTTATATTGGTTTCTTTTACCTACCAAATAATTAATTTCTATTAACTTCACAGATCCAGTTCCTAATTTTAGTAAGATAAACAAGAAAGACATTTTTGCATAATAGTTTTTTTTTATTGACTTAAAATCGTGCATCGTTCAAAATGCATATCACCTTTACAGATAGATAGATAGATAGATAGATAGATAGATAGATAGATAGATAGATATAAATAGAGAAGGCCAAATAGATATAAATAAACTGAGATAGATAGATAGATAGATAGATAGAGAATGAACTGATTCTAATAGATAGATAGAGATAGATAGATAGATAGATAGATAGATAGATAGATAGATATAAATAGAGAAGGCCAAATAGATATAAATAAACTGAGATAGATAGATAGATAGATAGATAGATAGAGAATGAACTGATTCTAATAGAATAGATAGATAGATAGATAGATAGATAGATAGATAGATAGATAGATGAATGATATAAATACAGAAGGCCAAATAGATATAAATAAACTGAGATAGATAGATAGATAGATAGATAGATAGATAGAGAATGAGCTGATTCTAATAGATAGATAGATAGATAGATAGATAGATAGATAGATAGATAGATAGATAGATAGATATAAATAGAGAAGGCCAAATAGATATAAATAAACTGAGATAGATAGATAGATAGATAGATAGAGAATGAACTGATTCTAATAGATAGATAGATAGATAGATAGATAGATAGATAGATAGATAGATAGATATGCTAC